ATGTCTTCAGATATTATCAAATACTCCCAGGATAGGGCTAGCAAAATCAGCCCTAGTTGAGAAGCACTGCCATAGAGGGAATCAGGGCTCTGTCTCCTATCAAATCTCATCCCCGCTTAATTCCCCAGCATGAGAAGAGGCTGGACAATCTCCCTGTTGGCATTCATAAAGAATAGCCTTAAGTTTTCTGAATTGACCTCATTGTAGGCTCATTAGTGCCCACTCAGATCCCCTTGGCAGATATTAAGGGAAGTCCAGTCTTAAATAAGTACAGCTATAAATTAAATAAATTTTTCTCAAAAAGCAATGTGCTGTATACATCTGGAGACATGAAACTAGGTTTCATATAAGAAATTGGGAGTGTTCGATCATATAAGGTAGTCATCCACAATCAGTGAACTAATTAATTGAATTTTTAGAGGTCTATGTTAAGAAACCCTTGACTCTCATCAAAACACAAAAAAGCTTGGGACCTACCAATTAGGATATATTACTAATTGGTAGTAACTCTGGATATATTAGGATATATTACTAATTGTAATAACTCTGAAGTTATTACAATGGTTGTGAGAATATTAAATAGAATGATAACCTCTGGCCATCTATAATTTAATTGGCAATAAATTCCTTTAAGGAAAAGCAGTGTTCATTTTCAAAAGTAAGAGGCAGCCCTAGCCTCCCATGTAGATGTGGTCCCTCTGAGTACATACGTGATGAATTCTGGCAGACCCCATGGAACACAGACATATTAGCAGGGGGTCTCCTGTCTGTGTCTTAGGAACTTACCTTTATTCATTTAGGCCTTAGCAAAGACCACATTCTATGAAGTTCATGGGCAGTGCTATCATAGAACCAAGTGAAGGCCTCCAGGTATAACTGGAGAGTGGTGAAGAGCAAAGTTCAGAAAAACAAGCTATCTCTATTGTCAAATCAAATGACTCTTATTTTTAAAAACCCTTCCATGGCTTCACATTTCAATTAGAAGAAAATGTAACTTCCTCATAGCCTATGGCATGATCCAGCCCCAACAACACCTCTAACCATTCTGTCCCTGACTCATTCTGTGTGGGCCACACTGGTCTTCCCCTGTTCCTTCTGATCTTGGAACATTTTACCATGGAATTCTCATTGTCTGGACCACTCTTTGCATTCATCTTCACATATATCCTTCTCAACATTCAGGTCTCAGCTAAAATGTCACCCTTCTCAGAGAGGTCTTTACTGACAACCACATCTGAGAAGGTATCCTGAGCTCTCAGTCTATATCATGCACACTTATCATCTGGGGATCATGTTACAAGACCGATTTTGACTCGATGACTCTGTGAAGGGACTTGAAATTCTGCATTTCTAACAAGCTCCCAAGGAATACAAACTTTCTGCTCCACAGATCATCTACCCACCTCCATCCCTCAATCTCTGTGACACTAACTGTGTCATTTAATTGGCTTTTCTCAGGATCTGAAATTATTTACCTGTTTGTGTTGGATTGTTTGTTATCTGATCTATTCATTTACTAGAATGTAAATTCCCTGAGAGCAAGGAGTCTGTCTAGCACTATTTTTTTTTTTTTTTTTTTTGAGACGGAGTCTCACTCTGTCACCCAGGCTGGAGTGCAATGGCATGATCTCGGCTCACTGCAACCTCCGCCTCCCAGGTTCAAGCGATTCTCCTGCCTCAGCCTCCTGAGTAGCTGGGATTACAGGGGCATGCCACCGCACCCAGCTAATTTTTGTATTTTTAGTAGAGACGAGGTTTCAACATCTTGGCCAGGCTGGTCTCGAACTCCTGACCTTGTGATCCACCCACCTTAGCCTCCCAAAGTGCTGGGATTACAGGCATGAGCCACCGCGCCCGGCTATCTAGCACTTTTAAATTCTCAGCACTTCCCACAGTACCTGACACAACATAGATGCTCCATAAATACTGTTGAATGAGTGATGTTGTTCAAGATTCATTGACTCTGTGATCCCTTCAGTGTCTGCTTCTGATTGCTTCAGTGGACACTCAATTATACAACAGAAACTACACTATAATGATAGGGCAGTGCTACTCAAGGGCCATTCCAGGTACTGATAAAAATCTTGTGCTATAATATAAATCTGCTATGTGACTAAGCACAATTTTATCTGAGATGAGACATTTTTCATAGTAAGACTTTCTTGACTTGATGAAGCAAGGAATGTTTTGCTTTACCTTGTGGTGAAAGCTCCTCATCTCATATTAGAATGGTAACAGTGTGTGAACTGGTCCCTACTGGCAGGACACATTTTGAGTTGTGCTGATATAGGGGATAAAAATCTAAATAAGATCTATTCTCTAACTTCAGAAAATCATACATAGGTAAGAGAATTACACATTTAAATATATAATTGTAATTTTTTTGTCAAGTGCTGTAATAGGGAATTACATGAAAGAATTCAGGAATTGTGGAAAAAACAAAGAATTGGTCTTTTGTGCTCCCCCTTAGTCACAACTTTCCTGACACCTGTTCTCCTTATAACCACAAACCCTCCCACTGTACCCTTTCCTCTTGATCACGTACCATTTATCTGGGCCATGCTCTTCCACTTGGGCCCTGCATTTCTTCTTGCCCACTCCCATACCTCCATTCAAAGCGAGCTGTGCTCTTCCCTGACCTACCTTCTTTGTCATGCCCAGGCTGCACCCTCTTCCACTGCTCTGGCTATGGGCCTGAAAAACCTCCCCTTCTTGCTCTGCTCTTAGGAAACACCAAAGTTACAGGACCAGGCTTGGGTCTTCTGAGAAATTGTGAAAAGGAACTGAGAATTGTGGTAGAGAATAGAAAATGGTAGGAGAAATAGGGAATTGTGGGAGAGAAGGGAGAATTACGGGAGAAGGGAGAATTGTGGGAGATAATAAAGTATCATGAGAGAATAGAGAATTGTGAGACAATGTGGAATTGGGAGACAGACTAGGGAGTTGTAAAAGAACAGAATTGTGGGAGAAACATGGAATTGTGGGAGAGGACAGGACAAAGAACTGTGGGAGAGACAGGACTGTGGGAGAGAACAAAAAATTGTGGAAGAGACACAAAATTTTGGGAGAAAGGGAACACATGTGGGATAGAAAATTGTGAAAGGGAATATTGTGAGAAAACAGAATTATGAGAGAGAATGGGAGTTAGTAGAAAGACTGGGGAATTGTGAACAATAATGGAGTATTTTGAGAGAATGGAGAATTGTAAAAGTGGAGAATTCTGTGAAAGAACAAAGAATTGTGGGGGAGATGGGGAATTACAGGAAAGACAGGAAATTGTAGCATAGAATATAGGATTATGTTTAAGATAAGGAATTGTGGAAGAACAGAGAACTAGGAGAGAGACGGGGAAGTAAAGGAGAGAATACAGAATTCTGGGCGATACAGGGAATCGTGGGAGAGAGTAAAGTGTTGTGGGAGAGAAGGACTAACGAGAATGAAGGGCCAACTGTGGAAGAAAGGAAATCATGAAAAAATATTGCGAGAGAACAGAATTATGAGAGAGAATGGGGAATTATGGGAGAGACTGGGGAATAACAAGAATATTGTGAATGAACAGAACACTGTAGAAATGAATAATTTTGAGTGAAAAGAATTGTGAGAGACAGAGTCATAGGGAATGATGGAAAAGACAAAGAATTGTGGGAGAAACAGGACTGTGGGAAATAGAATTTTGAGAGATATAAGAATTTGTAGGAAAGAATAAAGAATTGTTGGGAAACCCAGCAAATTGTGGGAAAAACAAGAGAATTATGGGCAAGACAGGGAATTGTGGAACAGAAATATGAATTGTGAGAGACACAGGGAATTGTGGGAGAAACAAGACCGTGAGCAAGACAAGGAATTGTCGGACAGAAAAATGAATTGTGGGAAGGAATAGAATTTTGGGAGTGACTTGGGATGGTGAGAGAAATAGGAATTGTGGGAGACAGAAGACTGTGCAAAGAACCGAGAATTGTCGAAAAGAGAATTGTGGGTAACAAAACAGAATTATCAGAGTGAAAGGGAATTGTGGGAAGGATAAAAGAACTGTGGGTAAAGAGAGAAGTTGAGCTGTGATGTAGTCAATGTAGTTGAAATGGAAACCTCAGGCTATCCTGTAGACAGCTCTGATGCTGGGATGGCCTTTCTGAGTTGTCCCCCTTGGGGCTAGGGGGCCTGGGCTTATGTGCCTTTGCAGAGACCCTCATAGGATGCAGACTATTCCCAAGGAGGAAATGTGATTTTGTGTGCGGCAATTCTTAGGCAGAGGACAATTCCTGGAGACTCAGCTGAAAGCTGTGAGCCCCCAACACTCCCTGCACCAGGGGGCATCTGGAGGTATTTCACAGATCCACTAGTTATACAGAAAGATATATGTTTCTTTACTAACACTTTAAGTAACACGATCAAATTAATTTCAAAGTAGTGGATGGATGATATTTTGAGATAGACACAACAACCATATGTGACATAATTTATCTCTGATGTCTATTAGTGCCATATGTAGCTAATAGTACTAGGATTTGTTGCCTACATTCCTGATGGAAGAAAATGCTAAATTTCTGTTGGAGGTAAATGAAAATACAGACATTCAAAATCACATACCTAACGAAGAAGACCTTGGCAGCCCGAACACTGTCTTGTTCACTTTTGGATCTCCACCAGCCACAGTTATGGGCACCTGCTAATGTTTCTTGAATCATTGCTGTAATTAAAACTGATGGGATAACATTTAAAGAAACGGAAATTTAAAAACTCCTCCAAAGCGCTCCCTCTGCCGCATAAAGCATACACAGCAGAGCTCTTCACTCTAGGGAAGCCTCTGTACCAGACAACCTTCCCCGCCAGCGCGGGCATTTTGAAAAAGCCTCCTGGCCTTGAGGGGCGGGCCCAGAGAGCGGCCTCCTCTGCGGTTATAGGCGGAAGCGCGGAGAGGACGGAACCCGCTCTCCGTGATTGACGGAAAATATTACCCTTCAGCCTGCCTCCCGCGTGCCCGGAAGTCCCGCCTTCTAAAAAGGAAGTAGCGGCAAGAGAGAACGCCTGGGGTGACCGCGGCTACAGCGGTGACCGAGCGAGAGGAAGGCGGCGGCGGCGGCGGTGGTGGCGAAAGTCGTTGCTGCTCTGGGTTCGAGTTGGCGATTGAAGGCCGTACCGGCCGCCCGGAGCAGCCCGGGGGAGGGCACAGGTGCAGAAGGGCGGGCTGACCGCGGCCGGTTTGGTCTGGGAACCGCGGGCTGGAGCCGGTGGGCGCGCGCTGGGACGGTGTGGGGAAGACACTTGGCAGCGCCTTGACCTTCGCTGTCCCTTCCTTTCTTCTGATTTCTCTTCATGCGCCGCACCCTTCCCGGACCCCCAGTCCCTCGCTAAGGCGCTGGGGACAGGGGTCAAGTCTGGGCTCAATGGGCCTCCCCTCATCCACCCAGGTCACGACTCCTAGGAAACCCCCACCTCCAACCCCGCCTCAGGACTATACCTGTTGGTAGTGTGGTGGTTTCTCAGCGACTGCCTTACCTCAGTCCCCAAAATCTCACTGCCTTAGAAACGTCCCCCCAGAGGTTGGTGTAGGTTTCGCAATATTTCCCTAAGGGAGCAATATATTAAAGTTGTCCTTCGAAGTTGGTATCCTGCCTGGTAGGTGCCCATGGGATGACAAAGAGGAGGAACAAGGGGTGGCCAGATTAGGAATAACGAAATAATAGTTTTGAGTCCAGAGACATTAATCTGTCTCTTTGTTTTGGCAGGTGGAAATATAGAATTGCTTGGTGTCAGCACTGTTTCCAGCCATGGGTTTGTCTCCATCTACTCCTGCTGTTGCAGTTCAGGCCTCAAATGCTTCAGCATCCCCACCTTCAGGATGCCCAATGCATGAAGGGAAAATGAAAGGTAATCGACCCTTTGTCTATAAAAATAAAAGATAATTCACTGCCAGGCGCCGTGGGTCAGGCCTGTGACAGCACTTTGGGAGGCCAAGGTGGGTGGATTGCTTGAGCTTAGGGGTTCAACACCAGCCTAGGTAACATGGCAAAAACCTGCCTCTACAAAAAAAAAAACAAACATTACACAGATGTGGTGGTGGGCACCCATAGTACCAGCGACTCGGGAGGTTAAGGTGGGCAGGATCGCCTGGGAGGCGGTGGTTGCAGTGAGTCGAGATTGTACCACTGCACTCCAGGCAGGGTGACAGTGAGACTGTGTCTTAAAAAGTTCTTGAAAGGCTCTAAAGGAAGAGGTAGTGTATTATGCTGCTGAGGCTGGTTGGCATGGGAGTCAGTCACCCTAGGTCTGGTCCTTATTTTGCCTCTTATTGAGATTTGTGACTCTAAACAAGTTAGCTCTGTAAGTCTCAGTCCGTCATCTGTAAAATGAGGATATAATAATATTTCACAGGCTTGTCACGAACAGATTGAGACAGTACATGAGAACATAGTGAGTACTCTAAACCAGCCCCAACTTCCCGAAGTTTACTTGTGCCTACATCAGTGGGTCTTAACTGGAGGGGGACAATCCCCACTTCCCACAGGGAACATTTGCCAATATCTGGAGGCATTTTTGGTTGTCACAACTGAGAGGAAAGTGAATAGAGGCGAGGAGTGCTCCTAAACATCCTACAATGTACAGAACAGACCCCCAACAAAGAATCAGCTAGCCCCAAATGTCAAGAGGGCCAAGGTTGAGAAACCTTTGACTAGATCTGGCTGTCTTAATAAATAACCGTTGCTCCCATAGCCATTTCAGTATTCTTCTATGTAAAAGTAAGCCGTCACCTAATGGGCTTGCTGTCCATTCTTTAAATAAGAAAATGAAAATGGGAAAGCCGTCTTTCATTTTTAATTGATGCATGTCTACTTTAGATTGTTCATATTTAAATATGGCTTGAATCAGTAAGTTGTGAGGGGCAGAAGCAGCATAGTGTGCTTACTGAGTACTAATGCATGTGCTGTTGTTATTCATTTCTTCAGTCAGCCAGCCTATTCTGAGAGGTCACTGCCCATTCGGTACCAAGCACTGCTGGGCTTGTTTGTTTCTGCATGAGAGAATAGCATTGTACGAAATGCAGCTTTGCCTGGTGGAGCTTACATTCTCATTGTCATAGCTGTGTGGTTGATTTTCTACCTTTTTTATAGTCAGGAAACTAAGGGTTGGAGTAACTGATGCTCCAAGTCACATAGGTTGTAAGTGGCAAGGCCAGCAAAAGTTCTGTGACCTTGGACAAGGACAGATGGTGTTCTTCTGGGGTTTCTTTGTATAGGAAGAATTGAAACAGATCAGCTGAAGCAGGTATGCTCTTGTTCTGAGTGTCCTCAGGGAGATCCTAAAGCCCTTTCTCTGGTTTTATGTCATTTGCTGTGTATCTTGGAGAGCTGTCAGACTTACTACATTAGTAAAGAATGTGGATATCTATAGGAGATCAAAGAGGCTACTGGTTATACGATTTGAAAAATGGAACCTTATTTTCTTTCTAACACCCAACTGGGATCCATGACTTGGAAAGGATTGGTGCTTTCAGTGGTAGAGAGGGAAGGCATAGCAAGTCTTCCTTCACCGCTAAAGTGGGCAGCAGCACAGGTTACCAGGAAATGAGGGCTTGGGAGGAGAAGTGCAGGGAAGGTAGTGAAAGGAAACTCATCTTTTCCGTGTGGATTGCTGTAGTTACTGCTGTTGCCTGAGGCCAAGATTCTATTACATGAGCAGCTGTCTTCTGGGTTGCAGCTCTCCAAGTGCCGGCTTATTCTCTGAACCAGCTTCTCAGTCCTCCACTAATTGGGATCAGCATCCTGGGTCTTTGGGCATAGTGCTTGCTATTGCTCATCTCATTAGGCTCAGACCTTCCCTTGTAATGAGCATCTTGATCCCATATGGGTCATGGAATGTTTTCTTTAATGTCTGCCTTTTCCTGTTAAACTCTCGCTGTTGACTGATGGGAATATTACCTAGGCCACGTGGTTTTCCTGTGCCTTGTTTCAGTCTTGGGACAAGGCAGAATGGCATTCATATTTTTTTTTCCAATAGCTTTTGTGTTGTCTCCTCTGTTCTTCTCCCGTTCCTTGTACCTGAGATAATGCATCAGTAATGAAAGCCTGGATCGCAGTTACGTCCTGGCTGGGCTTCTCTGGAACTAGTGAATGGAAAGTCAAGGAGACCCTGTGAATGTGGCTGGTCCCCACTTAGGTTCTGCTAACAGCTCCCAGCTGCTCATCCAGCCAGGTTACTAAAGCCATGGCATGGATAACACATGCTCTTCCAACTGCCAAGGTTTTTTGGCAGATTTTTCTGGGGATGTGACATTATATAATGGGTACTCATTTTTCTTTCAAAGGAAAAGTACATTTGTAGAATCGTCTCATCATTAGGATTTTGGAATGTTAGCTAGCTCAGTTCTTGGTAGATTTAAACAGAAGAAACCTGACTTTTCCTACAGTGGTAAACAATTGTTCAGAAATTCAGCTCTTTAGGGCTCCTGTTGAGAGAGCTAGATGTCCTGCCTTCATGGTGACACCATTTTTATACTTGATTATTTCAGGCTGTCCAGTGAGTGCAGAGCCATCTGACCCAACCTGTGAGAAGAAAATATACTCTGTGCCGGCCCACCAGGAACGCGCCTACGAGTATGTGGAGTGTCCCGTTAGGGGCACCACAGCTGAGAATAAGGAGAACCTAGATCCTTCAAATCTGGTAATCCACACTCATCTTTTCTTTCTGGAGCTTTTTATGCAGAGATGCTTGTACAGTCTCCAAAGACAAGTCATTTTTGAAAAGCTTGTCATAAAAAAGTTTTTAGAAATGCCTGAAGATCCTGGCATTAGTTTTTACTTCTTATTCCTTGTTGACATTTCTTCTAAATTTTTTCAAAGGAGATGCCAAAAATTTAACCATAGTGTTTACCACATTTGAGAACTTAATCAATGAAGAAACACAACTTCAGTAATCTGACTCTTCAAAAACAGTCAAATTATCTGAGAAGTCTGAATTTTTTATGTCACTGATTTAATAAGTAATCTGTGCTTTTCGTGTGACATATTGCTTTCCAGGAAGTAGTTAATTGTATTGCCTTTGACTTTATATTCTATAAAAGCAAATCTGCTTATTTTATTTAGATGCCACCACCCAATCAAACACCAGCTCCAGATCAGCCATTTGCACTGTCTACTGTCAGAGAAGAGTCTTCCATTCCCAGAGCGGATTCAGAGAAAAAGTGGGTTTACCCTTCTGAGCAGATGTTCTGGAATGCAATGTTAAGGAAAGGGTGAGTGAGCATATTACTTAAAGTAAAAATTTGCTTGTCAAATGTATCCAAGAGTTATATGCTAAAGAGATTTTTTACCTTCAGAACAATATAACAAATTTTTATGTATTCAGTTTATAATGACCTGATTTTTCAGACCTGTCAGAATGTAAGTACAAGGCCAGTGTATTAAATCAGGGTTTTCCAGAGAAACAGAACCAATAAGATGTGTGTGGGGAAGCAGGAGGCAAGGAGGGCAGGAAGATATTTATTGTAGGAAATTGACTCACACAACTATGTAAAGCTGAGAAGTCCCAAGATCTGCATTCAGCAAGCTGGAAGCCCAGGAGAGCCAAGTCTGAAAGCCAGTGGGCTTAAGATGCAAGAAGAACTGATGATGTTTCAGTTCAAGTCCAAAGGCAGGAAAAGCCCAATGTCCCATCTCAAGCAGTCATGCAGGAGTCTTTCCCTCTGACTCATGGAAAGGTCAGCCTTTTTGTCATTCAGGTCTGCAACTGATTGGATGTGACCCACCCACATGGAGCAGAGAGGGAAATCCACTTTACTTAGCCTACTGATAAGAATGTTACTCAGGTTCAAAAACACCCTCACAGACACACTCAGCATAAAATTTGACCAAATGTCTGGGCATCCTGTGGCATAGTCAAGTTGACACATAAAATGAACTATCACAGCCAGTAATAGGTTTTTTAAGGAACTGGAAACACTGTTAGATAAAATGTTTAGAAAAAGTTAGGTAATCATTGATCAGTGGCAGTATCTGAACAAATGTCACCTCATGATTTTGTAACTGGCTTACTGTGACTCAGTAAAAAGAGACTAAGGTGAACCTTCTGTATTTGTTTTAAATGCTTCTATCGTAGCTTTGGATTTATAGTGCTGTTCCATGATCATGGGTACATCTTGAAAATGAGCCTTAAGTCTGTTAAATTCAGAGAAAATGACCATTCTTAGTTCTTTCTCAAAGGGGAATGTTGAATAAATCACCTTATGAAAATATGTGGATTAACTTTATGGTACTATCAGGAACATTTGTCAGATTTTACCAGATGTTCTTTCCTAGGTGGAAGTGGAAAGATGAGGATATCAGTCAGAAGGATATGTATAATATCATTAGAATTCACAATCAGAATAACGAGCAGGCTTGGAAGGAGATTTTGAAGTGGGAAGCCCTTCATGCTGCGTAAGTATGTTTGAGATCTTAAAAAAAAAAAAGAAGCATCTTCCTTATTTCCTATCAGCTTTCTAGAGTTTTAACATTTTATTCAAATAATTTGTTGTTCTAATAAAACATGTTATATAGCAGGCATGGCTCAGTGACAATTGTTGCATGACAGGCTACCCTTCTTAGTCATGTGAAAAATAGCAACCATTTTATTAGGCTTGTGGATTCAGTGGGTCCGGAGTACAGCAAGGACAGGGCAAGGGTGGCTTGTCTCTGTTCCTTGATGTCTGGGTCCTCAGCTGTGAAGACTCAGTGGTCAGGATGGCTTCTGAGCCATGGGCTAGAGTCTTCTGAAGGCCTGTTTACTCCTCTCACGAGTGGTACTGGCTTTTGGCCAGAACACCTGCCCATGGCCTCTGAATATGGCTGCTTCAGCTTCCTCATGTCATGGTGGCTAGGTTCCAATAGCTAGAGTTCCAAAAAGCATCTCCTTTTCTGACCCAGCCTGGGAAGTCTCAAAGTGTCAGGAGCCTGTCCATATTCAAGGGGATGGGACAGAGACCCCACCTCTCAGCAGAAGGAGCATCACAGCCCTTCGAAAGCAGAGTGTCTGAGAAGGGAGATGCTAAAATGCCATCTGCCCCATGGGAGGTAGGAAAGACATTTTTGTTCCCTCAGTAGCATTTATTGACTCCTCATTAGGACTAAACACAGAGATATGTCCTAACTCAGAGCCCTTTTTCTTAGGGACAATAGGTAAATGCAGTTGTGTGTGTTAAAGGAGACAGGACTTCATTCTGTTGGGAGTAGTGGTTCTCACAATAGAGCGTGCATCAGCATCACAGGGAAGGTTTGTTAAAACCCAGCATGCTGGGCCCCACCCCCAGGGTGTCTGACTTAGTCTATTTCGGGTGGGGCCTAGACTGGGTGTATCTAGAGCACTGCATCTAGTGCTGGTTAGAGCCAGATTATATCATAAACAGTGGTTTACTAAAGTCCACTTAATTTTTTAAGATGTTTTGTTTGTTTTTAATGTTTGCATTCTGAAGCTCATTAGTTGCACACCCTGGCTTTCACTGTCTGGGCCTCAGACCTGGGGTGGGTACATGTGAGAGGGGAACAACTGCAACCACATTCTCCTCAGTTACCACTGGCCTGAGAGGAGCCACAAGTGTTTGCAGTGACCTACGTTGAAAATGTGTTATAATTAAGACCACCTGCTAATTACTTGTGTGATTATGGAGCAAAGAGAAAAGGGAATTTCATTTTGTCAGTTTCAATTCCTTTTCCAGTTATTTTCCATCAAAATTAAGTAGACCTTTAAAAGACTCATGCTATGGTCTCCAGGAGAAAGTTTTACCTAGATTGAGTTTACCTTTTTGCCTGTGACCCTCTTGAGAAGAGATGTTAAGGAGCAGTTCCTAAAAGAAGAAAAGTAACTCATAAGTCCTCAAATAGGAGTCCTTTATACTTTGGAATTTTTTCTCCCTCCCACTTAATTAGACACATGAATACCAAAGCCTGTCTTATCCATGGGAGCAGCTAACAAGATAGGTGGCCTTCTGTCTTAGCCACCACCCCCTCTGTCTGGGAAACAGCTGTCTGTCTAGCCTATAGGTGAGCTGTGAACTCCACGAGGACAGGGCATAGAGGGTCTTGTTGGCACTGCTACACCCCGGTGCCCATAGAGGGCTGGCACCTAGAGAGTCCTCAGCAGGGGTCTGCGGGCAGAGGGAGTGCATTTGCCAGCTATGACTCCACCACCCCTCAGCTTATGTGTAGTTATTAAGGAACTGGTCCAACATTAATTACAATCCATTTATAGGGATTAATCCATCATTTTCCTTTCTTCATAAAAGCTGTTCATTGGTTTGAAATGAAAGAAGAATATAGGATTTTCTTGTTTGTCTGAAAACCCCAGATGCTCTGTGCCAAAGAGAAAGAAGCATGATGCACAATACTTGAGGCCGGTTTGTTTTTAATGTGCCTGTCCTCCTACACCAAATGGAAAGGCCCTGTTTCCTGACTCCTGCAAAGTGCAGTATAGATATATCCAGAAGGAAGAGGAGGCAGTGGAACACACCCGGTGCAGAAGGAAAGAGTAACATTTTTAACAAATAGGCACTTGTTGTTTGAATTGTTTTAGAACTTACCTTTCTCTGTAAATGTGATATTATGTGAAATAAATACAGAAAAAAATGTATATTACTAAAAAATCAGAACATCATTTTTGTCAAAGAAAATAAAATATTTTAACAGACTTTTCTTATTTGGGGAATTCTAGAGAGTGTCCTAGTGGTCCATCATTGATCCGGTTTGGAGGGAAAGCAAAAGAATATTCACCAAGGGCACGAATTCGTTCCTGGATGGGGTGAGTGTCAGCGCAGAAGTGTTGTTTCACCATCCTCAGGTCAGGGTCAACTTTCTCTTCACACCAAAACCATCTGAGAATTGCAGTGCCATCTTGCAAAACTTAATCCATATTCAGCTGTAGATTTCTTTCTTTCCCTGAAGTTTGCCCATTAATGGGCAGATGTATTAGGTTGTAGTAGATTGCTTCCTGTTTATCATAGGGTTGAATGGAGTTATCATCCCTGTTCTTGGATCTGCCCTCTTACTGTTCCCATGATCTGTCTTTTTGGGTTTATGCACTTAGCGATCCTCCCTTTCTTTTCCAGCATAGTTCAGATTCTTTGCTCACACCTGCATTACTGCAGTATGTCAGCTGACCTAGATCTGGCCTAGATCACTTCCTATTGACCTTACTCCTTTGTAGACAGATGAGCTGTCATCTGATCTGGACTCATCACAGTTCTTCAGTGCCATCTTCCCTTAGTGCTGCTCACTGTGTGATTCTTCAAGTCTGACTGACTTCCCCAATTAGGTGTTTGGGAGCAGGTGGTTGCATGTGCTTCTTGAGCTTTCTCACGGCTTATACTGGGACTGAATTTAGAGCAAGCATTTTAACACTCAGTGGCATGTTTTTATTCCAGGTATGAATTGCCTTTTGATAGGCACGATTGGATCATAAACCGTTGCGGGACGGAAGTTAGATATGTGATTGATTATTACGATGGTGGTGAAGTCAACAAGGACTACCAGTTCACCATCCTGGACGTCCGTCCTGCCTTGGATTCGCTTTCAGCAGTATGGGACAGAATGAAAGTCGCTTGGTGGCGTTGGACCTCGTAAAGCACTGTTTGAGATGGGAAAATATAAACTATTTTTCTGAGAGATACATTAAACTATTTTCCCCAAATTGAATTGCACTTATGATATAATGGTAACTTCAAGTGGGTAATCACACTTTATCCTTCATTTAGCGAAGGATACTATGCACTACTCACTTTTGAATTGCACTGTACCTTGCAGTTTATAGCAGATCATTTTGTTTTCTTCCTACTTAGCTTAAGTGGGAAGCAGTACCTCAGTTTTTCCTTACCTGCAGTATTGCCTGTGTATTTCATCTAGGAAAGCCAGAACAACCTCTGTAAAAGAGCATTTGAAAACTGCTTTTTTTTTTTTTTTTTTTTTTTTTTTTTTTTTTTTTTTTTTTTTTACTGTTTTCTCAGGAATACTCAAGATGTAAAACCTGAGAGTCCGCAGTGATGCTCAGGAGCTTTCATCTGGCCAAATATTTTAACCAAAACTGTTTATTATAAATGAAAGGTAGTTATGCCTTTTTTAAAAAAAGTTACTATTATTTCTAAAGTTCCTGTGATATGATTGTGACCTTTAACAAAATGCAAAGTTATATACTGGAAAGGTACTCAGCAAAATTCTCTCCAAATTCTGATTTATATGAATGTCTTGGACTAGACCTTGTTATAGAGTACTTTCAACTACACTATGCTCTGGAACATACCTTTTAAAAAAATGTTCCCTTTAATTCCTGTTATTCTGATATGTAACTGTGCTTCCAACAAACAGATCACCTCATTGTCTTTGGCACTTGACAAGTTATCCCAACTTCGAATCTCTTTCCTTCCTCTGCTGGCAGCCCCCACCCTCCCCCCAACCCCCAGAAGTTGGCTTAATCCAAACCTTGAAAGCGCGGGGTAAGTCCCAGTATCAGTGATGGTCCCCGGTAAAACATGATTTTATATTTGGCTGAGTGTTAAAATTCCTAAGATGAGTGTTTTTCTGAGATGAAGAATGTTTGCATCAACTCAATTGGTCTAGAGTTTTTTGGTTTGTTTTAAGGAAGCTCTAAGTTTGCCATTGACATTTTTTGTACCAGTAATCCATAAACTGGTTGTTCTAATTATAGCAGCATGTTACAAATGACTGCTGTTTTCTTTTAAACTGTCTATACTATTCTTTAATTTATTCTGAATGCTGTTAGTGTTAAATTAGTGGATGAAATTGGCAGCCTGTGATTAATTTGGTATGGATTTGTCAGTTTTGTGTGGAGTTTAAGAAATACAATAGCCTTAAACTCTACATTTCAAAATACTTGTATATTTAAAAATAAAGCTGATAGTTCACAGGTTTTGAAAATTTTTCAGAGTAATTTTACACTTAACGGTGTTTCTTCAGACATGTTATCTTTATAAAAGCAATGCTATAGTCTCCCTACTCAAAGCAGCCACTTTCTCATCTACTAATCACATGTTTTTAAACTGTAGAGGAAAATAATGAGTTGGCATTTTGGGGGGTGGTCTTAAGTGCTACTGAGTGAGTGTGGGATAAGACATTCTTATGAAAAATAAAGCACTGTAACTGGAAACAAAAAATTAGGCCAAAGGCAGGATTCACCTCTTGTAGAGCTATGGTATTATTTAAGATAAGCAAACTTGATGACAAGATCCAACAGTTTTATACATCTTTTTACCACTTACAGAAAAAATCCATGGCTTCCTGGATTGTCAGAGCTGCTTTGTCTAGATTATGCTTGATTGGGTCCAGAGGTCAATACTGATAGGCGTTTTCAGGTACAGCTCGAAACTCATTTAGGATATTCTGTTTTTTCTTTTTTGAGACAGGGTCTCGCTCTATAGCCCAGGCTGGAGTGCAATGGCGTGATGTTGGCTCACTGCAGCCGCCACCTCCCAGGTCCCGGTGCAAGCAATTCTCCTGCCTCAGCCTCCTGAGTAGCTGGGATTACAGGCACGTGACACTATGCCCAGATAATTGTATTTTTAGTAGAGATGGGGTTTCACCACAATGGCCAGGCTGGTGTTGAACCACTGACCTCGTGATCTGCCCACCTCGGCCTCCCAAAGTGCTAGAATTTTAAGTGTTAGCCACCGTGCCTGGCCTCCTCTGGGATTTTAAACTAAGTCTTGTGTCTATGGAAATAGCACTATTCAGAATCAGACAAATTACTAAACATTGGGCTAAGTATTGGCAGACAAGGTGGAGCTACAAATGGATTGCATATTAACATTTAGTATTCCTATGAGTTCACTGGCTAACAAAATGTAGTTATGTCCACTTTGTGCATCATACTAGGAATACAAAATTGCAAAAGGTATGACCCTGATACGGTTTGACTGTGTCAAACCAAATCTCACCTTGAATTGTAACAAGCCCCATGTGTCAAGGGCAGGTGGAGATAATTGAATCATGGGGGCGGTTTCCCCTATACTGTTCTCGTGGCAGTGAATAAGTCTCGGGAGATCTGATGGTTCTTTAAATGGGAGTTCCCCTGCACAAGTTCTTTCGCCTGCTGTCTCATAAGACGTCCCTTTGCTCTTCCTTCACCTGCCGCCATGATTGTGAAGCTTCCCCTGCCGTGAGGAACTGTGAGTCCATTAAGGCCCTTTCCTTTATAAATTACCCAGTCTTGGGCATGTTTTTATTAGCAGTATGAGAACAGACTAATAACCCTACTTGCAGGGAACTCAGTTTTATGGACAGTATAAATGAAATGGTGGTAAATGCTAGAACTCCAATTTAAGGAATACATTGTGGTAGTACACAGCGTGCGAGTTCACATAAGTATTTTTGAATATATGGAGATGGTTATCAGTTTCTTTACTGAGTTATCATGTTTTCTCTCTCCCAGAGATTGTGTCCTAGAGAAAGTGAAGTGATACACATTTCTTGTCTCACCTTTGCAGTGATTGTCAGACTTGTATGATCTTGTATGTATCTCCCCTTTAATGAGAGTAATAGGACCAACTTAGCTTTGAGATGATGCCTAAAAACACTGAGAACAGAGCCTGAGGGTGGAAATATTTGGCAAATATTAGCTGTCACCTCATGACCGACAGCGGCAAGGACAGAAATCAAAGTGCTGAGATAGAATCTATGTCTCTAATCCTCTGGCCTTATTCCCCCTACTCCCACCCCCACCAAGAAGAATTGAGTTAGAGGGGTAACAGCAGGCTCTAATCCCCATTTTGATCAATTCTAAGAATTACCAGGTGTTTGGGTGCTTGCTCTAAACAAGCTCATGTTGTTTAAAATCATCAAATGGAAAAAGAACAGGCTATAGCCTTTGAGCTTTCAAAACATATCAGGGTAACAATTAGGTACTTGATGTGCAAGTCCCACTTGACAAAAATATTCTATTTACCTTTTTTTTTTTTTTTTTTTTTTAAA